TTTTTACTTGCTATATTTATGCTATCGTTTTGAAGGTGATGGCGGTGTTGGTTTTGCATGTTTTCTTGTGGGCGGATTTAGTGTTGGTTTTGCCTTGCCCCTTTCCCTTCATTTTGCGTATGGCTCTTGGATTTAATTAGATCCCTTATGATGATGATACGATGGAAGAAAGCAGATGTGGTTGTCCTGTCCATGGGTTGGTTTGATTGGTCCCTGAGACTATTTCGAGCATGTGATTTCGATACAGTAGCTTCCTCTGACGTCACTCCTCCCTCATAGTTACGACTTCAACAAAATTCCAACTATTGAAGCAAGCTCAATTAGATAAACCAAAGCAATGCCAATCCATCCAGGCTAAATAGCCTAATTTCAGCAAATTAAAATATGTCAAATGTCCAGTTGTCCATCACCAATTCCAAGCCTTTCGAAACAACCAGCTCAATTGAATTAGGTCAACGAAGATAAAGCAAAAATGCCGCCGGCGAAACGCGCAAAGAAACGCACTCCCTCTTCCCAACTGCCTCCAAGATCCTCGCCCAGAGAAGTCCATAGGGAGAAGTACAGGGAAAAGCAAGAAACACAAGCAACAAAACCCCAACAACACAAAGATACCACACGCCCAATATCCCCTCCTGAAGATACATCCGTGCCACTCAACCCCTCCCTTCTCGACGAAGCTGAAGTAGTCCCTGGACTCTCTGACCCCGACACCGTCACCGACACCAACGCCAGCACAAAGCCAACATCCCCAACGGAACCGGAGCACTCAAGCCACCACCGCGGAGGCGGAAGCGGCGGCTTCAACGCCCTGAAAACCTTCAAGGGCAAGGTCTACACCGGCGTGGCCGTCGGTGGCTCGTACACCTGGGAATACCATCCGGGCCTCTGGCACGAGACCAAGAAGGAGCCGGATCTGTGGAAGATAGACTACCGCGCGACGAAGCAGCGGGCAGGACGCCGGCGGGCGCCGCAGGGCACCGGCGCGGCGGTCGGCACCGAGTATCACTGGTTCATCGTCGCGCACCAGTTCGTCAGGAAGCTGGATGCGAACACATACGAGACGCGCATGGCTGGTTCGAAGTATAAGCTTGCGCATCGGCGGGCGGGGGCGGGGAGGTGGTCGGTTCCGAGCGTCAAGGGCCAGCGGGAGAGGGAGGTGGAGTTGCTGAAGGATGCGGGGAGGAGGGTGAAGGGGTTGCCGCCTGTGCTGGCTGGGGAGAAGGTTCGGGTTGAGAAGAGTGAGAAGGGTCAACAGAGGCTTGATGTGTTGTTTGGGGCTGGGAAAGGGGGGGTTGGGGGTGGGGGGTGGGGGTGGGGGTGGAGGGAGCGAATAGGAAAAACAAGCTTTCTTGATGGCAGCGATAACGATGCGGTGGGCTGACGACATTGGCATGGATGATATTAATGAGAAGGGATAGGTTTAAGAGAGGATGTCTCGAGCTCCGCTCCCACAGAATAGTTGCTTCTCTGGGACTTCCAGTATTCGCACTGGTGTTTTGGTGCAGAGAGTTTA